TTTAATAAGCAGTTCTAGCAATCGTCATTTGTATTAATAAACAATCACTATTCCACAATGTGCTTTCTTGTCCCAAACACAATATGTGTTTTAAAATAAGACCTTCTTTTGGAGGCACCTAGGTGGCTCAGTCGGTTGAGCATCTGACTGTTGATCTGGGCACATGAGGTCATGATCTCATGGTTTGTGAGTTCGATGGAGCCTGCTTGGGATTCTGTCTTTCCTCCATCTGCCCCTCCCCTGCTAACACTCTCTCTGTCTCTCTCAAAATCAATAATAAACTCAAAAAAAAAAATAAAGAAAATAAGATAAAAAAAATAAAATTAGACCTTCTTTTAAACTCTAGCTTACCACTTACTACTAATATTACTCTGGGATAGTTATTTAACCATTTTCAGGGAACTGGTTCCTTATATAGAAATTGATGAGGAAGCATGGGGCAAACTGAAGGCAGGCTGGCACACCCCCACAACCAGATGGAATATGTGTGATATTCCTCGGACACTCCTGGCTACCCAAAAACAAAGAAAAGGGGTTTAAGTGCTTGCCACGGTGATGTGGGCAAATGAGGCAAATGAAAAATTATATTCTCTTACTGCCTACAGCCCATTGACGAGTCCTTGAAACAGGCAATGTGACCTCCCTCTAGGACCTTAGCTGCCTGGATGATGACACTTTGCTAGGGCAAAAGAGAATCTCAGCTTAACAGTATCCCGACGTTATCCTGTAAGTCTACTTCCTTTATCTCAACTGCCCCAAGATATATGCTGGCAATCAGACTCCAAGCTTATGGCTCTGCTATATACATCTGAAGGGTCTTATGACTGGAGTTTTATTAAACGCTAATAAATGGCATTTCCCTAGCAACAGCTAGCCCCTCAAGGTCCTGGAAACCTTGCTTTCAAAATTTCTTAGAGACTTACTCTATCCCTGACCCTCTCCCAACCTGAAGGTATATAATAAGTTACCCGTCACAACCTCAGTGCAGTTCTTTCTGCCCACGGGCCCTGTCCCTGTGCTTTAATAAAATCGCCTTTTTGCACCCAAGACATCTTCAAGAATTCTTTCTTGGCCGTCAGCTCCAACCCCCGCCCCCCCACCATCACCCCAAAACTTCACAGAAATCATTGAAAGTTGTTGTAAGGATTAAGTAAAATTTTGTATATGAAGCAGTTAGTGTGACTACAATATAGAATATATTCACTGTGAATTATAAGGATGAAAATACTTCCTTACTGATTCAATGTAGTATATTTTAATGATGTTTTCAAGAGATGCAGCAAACGGCAACCTTTTGGATTAAGTAAATTAGTCACATCAGTGGTTCTGTAAAGAACTGATTTCTTTAAATTGTATTAATCTATACTATTTCTAATTATATTTCAAAACCATATGACTTTGTTAAATTATATCTAGTTGTTCTTTTCTTTTCTTTGTTTAACACGAAGAGCATATTGTATGAACACTGCCATCAGTGATTCTCTAATGGGGTAAAGTGCTGCCTTTAATGAAATAAAAGCAAAAACATCTAACTCATAACTGCGTGATAATCCTTTCAAGTTTTAAGGTATTTGCCATTTATTAGTTTAAAACTGGAACAGCTTAATAGATGAAGTTTTTTTTAATAGATTTATTTTTACTGTTTTTATTGAAGCACTTTTATGAATGAGATTTTTTTTTGTAATTTATTTTTCTGTCAACACAGATGATTTTCTCACAGACAAGCATGGACTCCTCATCACTATCACACACAAATTTAGGATTTAGTCAGCGAACGTACTGTAATAAAGCTCTATTAGCTATATTTAAATTAGATTATTTTTTCAAATAAGTGCAATTCTTAGATTTTTATTTTCAATTATCTGAAGTTGTTCTTCTAGTCCTATATTTAATATGAGTAAAATTCATTCGTTGTGATACCTGTTTATGTTCACCCACTTCAGAGTAAAATAATTCTGTTAACAAAAATCTGTTTTTATCATTTTTGTTACCTATCCACAGATCTTACATTAACGACTCTATTCCACAATTTTTTTCTATGTATTTATTATTTATTTATTCATTTATTTATTTAAAGATTTTATTTAATTTTTTAAGTAATCTCTATACCCAATGCAGGGCTTGAACTCACAACCCCAAGATCAAGAGTCCCATGCTCCACCTACTGAACCAGCCAGACACCTCAGTTTTTTCTTTTTAAAATGAATGTAATAATATTTATTTTGTGATGTTAGGGTATTAAAATAATTAAGCTCTTTAAAATACTTAAAACAATAGCTGGTAAAGGGTGTGAACACTTCAAAAGTGAAGCTTTGATTAGTATTATGAATATGTATATACACGTGTTAAAAATTATATTGCTATGTTATACACATTAAGGGCTCTTTGGAATAAAAGCCCATTTTAATATTATTATATATATAAGTATATACAGTCAACTATGCTCATGTATGTATTAGATTACATAGGTGATACTACATTCTACATACTATTTGTTCTATGTATAAAAATATATTACATGTGTATAGTATCTATAATAAATATCCATACTATTATCTATCTATCTATCTATCCCATTCATGAAGCCCTATTATCATTTTATGATAAAGTATTGACCAAAATGGCCTTAACATTTCCCTCAGCTTGATCAAACTTTAGATAAGATTCTTTCTGCCAGTAAGCCTGTGACCTTTCTCCAATCCTTCACCTTTACAGAATCTACCCCTAAACACAAAGGCCTCTGACCTCCCTTTGCTTTAAGCATCATTTACTTCAGAAAACTTGTAACTGCAAGTTTTTTCTCTTTCCTTTGAGATGTAAATCTTTTTAAAAGCTTCTTGCCCGTTTTACCAGGCAGAAATGTTTTTCTCAGGGACCTGGGAGGCACAGCTTTGAAATGTAATCATCAAGGAAGACAGCACCTTTTTCTTGCAGTATCTGTAGGAGAGTAGGAGCTGGATTTCAGCCACCTTTATCCAAATTGTGAAACTATATTCTGTCACCAAGTTATGAGAAAGGTTGCTTTACTTTTGGGTAAAGCCAATTAGCAAACACAGAAGGCCTTTGAACCACAAGCCTTAGCTCTTAAAAACTGATTTTTTTTTGCTTTGACAATATTTTGTTAATGAAAAGAAAGAGAAAAGGAAAAATTACATTCCTATAACATACATAGTAAAAGATCTTTGGGATTAAAGCCCCATTACAATCTTATCAGTTCTTTGTTTGAAAATTATAACTGAATAAGTAATTACTTCGGATCTGCATTGCACAGAATTGTGGCCAATTTTATCTAGAACTTATAATAAAAATCACAATTATTTAGCGAACAGGACATCCATGCAGAATATGTTGCTAACCATGAAATTAATGACCATTCCTGAGCACACTACCTAAGAAAAACCTACCTTCTACCCAAAGGCTTGTACTGATCTGCAAGTATCCTGTTTCCTTATATATGCATCTTGTTGTTTTTTTACTGTCTCCCTCATAGTCAGGCAGATTCCCTGGAGGCAGGGCCACTGTCTTTTTTGTTTATCATGATATCCTCAAGACCAGGCTCAATAGACACATTAAGTAAATATGAATTAATGCATAAATGACCGAGGGAAGAGAATCTGGAAAGTCAGTAATCAAGTATCTAGACAGCTTCTGTTTCTCATTTACTCTTTCTTTCTTACATCCTATTGGATTCTCAGCTTTCTTTCTCTTTAAGTTGATTTCACTTCCTCTGTGTGCACATAGCCTGAAATAGTCTCTGCAAAATTCCTGAGTTTATATAAACTTTCAATCCACTTTCAAAGATGATTGACTATATCTCAGACCCAATTTCAAACTCTAAGAGGAGAGAATCTGATGAATTTATTTTGGGTCAGTATTCATCCACAGAGCCGGCCAAATAAATAAAACCAAGTGTTAGCAACCTAATTATTGGGGAAATCGATCCCTATTGGATTAGAGAATGTCTCAGCAATATATTTTACATTTGTTGATGATGAGGGAGTGCTGGGCAAGCAGAGGGCAAAGTACAGGCTAACAGCATCTCCCCACCCCCAGGGTGGGATAAGTGTGATACTCCTCTGACACTCCTGGCTATCCAAGAACAAAGGAAAGGGGTTTAAGTGCTTGCCATGGTGATGTGGAAAATTAAGGCAAATGAAAAATTAAATTTCCTTAATGTCTACAGCCCATTGACAAGTCCTTGAAATAGGCCTCCTAAGGAGTCCAGCTGCCTCAGTGTTGACACTTTGCTAGGGGCAAAAGGGAATCTTGACTTAACATTATCCTGACCCTTCAGGATCCGGTAAGTCTACTTTAACATGTAAAATTTTTTGAAAACTTGCTTTATCTTAACTCCCCCAAGGTATATGCTGGCAATCATACTCCAAGTTTATGGCCCCCTGATATACATCTTAAGGGTCTCATGACTGAGGTTTTACTAAACAGTAATAAATGACATTTTCCTAACAGCAGCTAGTCCCTCAAGATCCTAGAGAGCTTGCTTCCAAAATACCTTGGGGACTTAATCTATCCCTAACCTCCTCCTAACCTGAAGGTATATAATGTGTTACGTGTCACAAACCCAGGGCAGCTCTCTCTGCCCATGGGTCCTGTCCCTGAGCATTAATAAAATTGCCTTTTTGCACCAAAGACATCTTCAAGAATTCCTGAAAAATTTCTTGGCCATCAGCTCTGAACCCCCACCATCACTCCCAAGACCCCATCAGCTGATAAACGATTAACACCACTATACTAGAATTTAAACGTGGCTGTCCAGAGTGTTGATAATGAAATTAAAAGGAAAGTTTTAGCATGGCCCCATTTTTTCCCCCATACCCATTCAGCCAGAATGAGATTTATGTTCCCTCCCCTTGTATCTGGTCTTTGTAACTGCTTGACCAATAGAATAAAGCATTTGTGACTTTAGGTCAGATTATGACTTCAGACCTTAAGGAACTGACCTCGTCCATGTTCTGTCCCTTAGGATTCTTGCTCCTGAACCCCAGCAATGAGGAAGAACAAGTGACCACATAGACAAGCCCATGTGAAAAGAAACAACCATCCAACAACTTGCTACCCATGTGAGTGAACCATCTTGGAAGTGCATTCTTTACCCCCAGTTGAGCTGTTTTAACTGACACAGATGAGTCCTATCCAAATTGCAGATTAATGAGAAAAATAAGTATTTTTTAAGCCAATGAAGATTAGTTGATTTGTTTCACCGCAGTAAATAACCATAACAATCCTAAACATTGCCCTGTTCTATGCTCAATTATTAATAGTGTATATATAATAGAATCTACCTGGATTTAATTCTCATTTAACCTCTGATTTTACTTTATTCAGTTAAACAGTTAATCACCTTAACTGTATCTTGCTATAATTATTAATTTGAATTTAGGTGTTGGGTGAAGGAAAAACTAGATGTTGGGTTTTTTGTTTTTTTGTTTTTTTTGTAAAGATCTCAAAAAATGCAATCAATAATTTTCTGTGTTATGTTTTGGGACATGCTCATTGGTAACAAAAAGTGCTTAACTGTGTCTTTTACATAATGATAATTCCTGATAATGACTGGTACAGCAGGGTTTTTTAAATTATATTTCAAGCAGAGTTCTAAAAGCAGAATAATCATTCAGATTGACGGATTGATTTTTATAGGTATCTTAATGCAGTTGCTTCTTACAATCTATAAAGTGAAGGTCAGCAATACTTCAAACACATGGAGCAAAAACAGAAAGGAACTCCAGCCTTATTTAATAAAAGTAACTAAGAAAAATTGGGGAATGGTGTCAAGCTTTGGTGGGTGGAAGTGGGAGGTATTTGGTTTATGAAATCTCTGTCATTACAGGTGAACAGTAAGAGGGAGACAATATCATTTCTATCAGCAAAGCATAAAAGCTGAGAATCTTGTCCCTTACATGTCAAAATGATTAATTAAGATGTTTTAAATTCACTATTTCCTACCACATTGCATGACTCTGAATATATAATTAATATTTACAGAAAACATTATATAATTGTACTTTTTATAGTATTCCATTTCAAACTTTTATGAGAGGAGAGAGAAACATTGGTTTGCTGTTTTATAACAGACTTCCACATTCACTTGCCTACATGAGCTGGGCCTATTTTTAAATGGACATTTGCAAAATGACAGTTCTCTTCACTTTTCAAATATTGATGTTTCTATGTCTCATAAATTGAATGGACCACAAGATTGCAGATACAGTCTTATTTACTTATTGTGATTGTTCTGTTTGCTGAGGTTGGTAAGAATAAACACAACACTTAAAGACCAGCAGGAGTCATAATCAGAAATCAGCCCAGATAAGTTTACAATTTTCCCTATTCCAATTGGAAACTAATATAATGAGGAAAATAACATTTTTCATTAGGACAGATACAAATACAATCTTCCCTATAAATAGAGCATTGTGCCCTTCACTAAAAACCAGAAATAACCAAATCAGAATTGTAGAAGCTGGGTATATTCTAAGGAGAAACTATGGAGAGAAAACTGTACAAGTAAATAAACACTACTGTAATGGATTCTAATAGACTTTTTTTTTTTTAATTTTTTTTCAACGTTTATTTATTTTTGGGACAGAGAGAGACAGAGCATGAACGGGGGAGGGGCAGAGAGAGAGGGAGACACAGAATCGGAAACAGGCTCCAGGCTCTGAGCCATCAGCCCAGAGCCCGACGCGGGGCTCGAACTCACGGACCGCGAGATCGTGACCTGGCTGAAGTCGGAAGCTTAACCGACTGCGCCACCCAGGCGCCCCTCTAATAGACTTTTTAACAACTCTCTGCTCTTAGAGGAAAAAAAAAAAAGACAAAATGGAATTTAATTTTTTATCACAATACATAAAAAAGCAAAAAATAAAGGGTAGGATTTTATACATAAATGAGACCCTTTTATAGATTTTAATGCCTTTGAAAGATCATGAATTGATGTATTTCCTAGCATTCATAAGTCTATTTAAATACAGGTTGGTTTAGGTCTACAAAGACAATGTGAACTCAATGTTCATGCAGGTGAAATAAATGGTAAAGTATTTACATTAAAAGTAAAACTTCAAAATATTTTCTGAATAAATTGGTTCTGTGTAATGTTTTTAATCTTATTGTGTTAGCATAATATTTAAATTACATTTGGGGACAGGTAATGCATGAAACATAGGGAGGTTTGTAATAAGGTAATAAATTTAAATCTGTTTCTGTTTCAGGGGTTAATAATGGACCCCCAGCTTACGTTGACAAAATGATAAAAAAATTTTCTCTACCTTCCATAGTAATGCTATGGCTTTGAACGTAATTAAATTTACTGAATATGTCAATCTTATTTTGTGATATTCAATTAGATATATGTATTTATTTTCCATTCATTTGTATTTATTTTTGTTTTTTATAATTTTCCTCCCCAAGAAATTTGAGGTTTTATTTATAAACATTATAATAAAATTATTGAATTGTTTCTTCATTTTTAAAGAAATCACAAAGATTTGGACATAATTAGGATTTTTTTTTTTTTAAAGATAATGTTTATTTGTTTTTGAGAGAGAGAGAACCAGGAAGGGGCAGAGAGAGAGAGAGAGAGAGACAGAGACAGAGACAGAGACAGAGGATCTGAAGCAGGCTCTGTGCTGTCAGCCCAGAGCCTGATGTGGGCCTCAAATTCAGGAATGGTGAGATCATGACCTGAGCCTAAGTAGGACACTTAAACAACTGAGCTACCCAGGTGCCCCATGGACATATTTAGGCTTGAACTGAGATTATTAGGAAAATATCGACAAAGTGAATTATAAATATTTTATAATTGGCCAATAGAGCAAAAGGTAGCTTGGATATGGCATGCTGTGATTTTAACGTTCTATTTGACATAGTCATATTTTTAAAAATTTTTTAAATGTTTATTTATTTTTGAGAGACAGACAAGAGTGTGAGCAGGGGAGGGACAGAGAGAGAGAGGGAGACACAGAATCCAAAGCAGGCTCCAGGCTCTGAGCTGTCAGCACAGAGCCTGATGGGGGGCTTGAACTCACCAACTGTGAGATTATGCTCTGAGCTGAAGCCGGATGCTTAACCGACTGAACCACCCAGGTGTCATTGACATAGTCATTTTCATGACCTGATACTATATATGGACTAATATTATCTGAATGAAAGTGGACTTAAGTATCTTTTTGAATAAGGAAAATAACATAATGTTCTTTTATAAAACAAAAGCAGTCAAGGAGGAAGTCTTAAGCAAGATGCACAGAATTCTGTTTTTATCGAGATCCTATAAAGCATATATTATTAAATATTTGGATGAAGATATAGTAGACAAGTTCTCATATCTTCCAGATAGCACCAACCTAAATGGGTTCTTAGGTAAATAATTAAGTTAAAAATCATCTTTCCATGAGGAAGTGATAGGTTAGAAATATAGAAATTTGGCTCTCATAAGGATAAATCTAAAGTCTTATAATCTTAATCTTCAATAACAAAGCTCCAGTAGTTCATCAAAATATACTGCATATATATTTCTCTAAGGTGTTAATATATGTACCTCAAAAACAAAACAAAACAGAACAAAACTAAAAAATAGGTATGATCAAATCGGTTTGGGCAATGATTCAAGCCATATATAGAGATTTGTAAGATACAACAATAGAATATTAACAATTTTTTATTGTGGTACAGAAATTTAATAGAAAATTTACCATTTTTAAGTTACAGCTCAGTAGTGTTAAGTATATTTACATTGTTGTGACACAGATCTCCAGAACTTTTTCATCCTGCAAACTGAAACTCTGCACCCATGAAATGACAACTCTCATTTTCTCTTCTCTTGGTAACCACTATTCTGCCTTCTGTTTCTATGATATTGACTACTTAGACACTCCATCGGTAATTAATAACATTTTATAAGTTCTGTTTTCTAGAAACCTGTTAACACAGTATCTCTCGTATATATTTTATAACAGAACTGATGTCCCATAAACATATCTAAATATCACTTGTGGAACATAACCCTGTGGAACAGTATTTTGAGAAACACTCAACTACTATTTTTTATAGCAAAAGTAGTAAAATTTCTACTGCTTTCTGCCATTTTTTAAAGGAGAATACTTGAAGAGTAAAATTTATAAGCTAGACAAATATAAGAGGAGACAAACAGAATTATGAAATAATTGAATTGGTGTGCTGTGGGAAGAATATTTGATATTTGATTTGAGAAGAGAAGATGTGGGATCCAGAGTATAAGTTTATTTTATTATTTTATTTTATTTTATTTTATTTTATTTTATTTTATTTTAAAAGTTTATTTATTTTGAGAAAGAGAGCATGCGAGAGTGGGGGACGGGCAGAGAAAGAGGGAGAGAGAATCCCAAGCAGGCTCTGCACTGTCAGCACAGAGCCCGACATGGAGCTCAATCCCACAAACTGTGAGATCATGACCTGAGCTGAAATCAAGAGGCAGACACTTAACCACCTAAGCCACCCAGGCACCCCCAGATTATAAATTCATATTGATTATTTACAGCGATATAATTTTTAATAAAAAACTGAGTGGATATATGAATCTAATGTTTATATAAGACATTAGATATTAGTGGATATATCAAACTAATGTTAAGTCAGCCAGGAAGATTTCATATTAAAAAAAGAAGTAACAGGTTATAAAATAATTTGGCTATCTTTTACCAGAAGTTTGAAGTGCAAGATTATACAACTTACTGTATGAAATATTATTTAAAAAAAAGATTCCTGATGAGATACAAAGGTAGACCAAATGCCTGTTGAGTTTGTCTACTGTTATTACACATAAGCCTAGATTCTAAATTAAAAAACAACAACAATTATTCCTTTTAAACTGAAATGGGATATGTATTGGATGATTTTTCCTTAAAAACATTTAGCTAATTTTCTCCATTACACTTTTCAACAACTTCTACAAATATGATACACATTAATGTGATCTAATTAAGTAATGTGATTTTTGAATCAAAAATTCTGAAAATTCATGTAGTCCTTTCAAACTTTGCTGAGAATGATAAACACCTACCACTGTGAAAAATCTCAAGATCTGCTC